GAGGAGGGTAATACGAAGTATGTGCCTGAGGATATACCTGTGGAGGGTAACCTGGCTAGAGACAACCATGTGTGATTGCAGGGGCATTGGGGTACATAGGATAGTTGAACACAGGATTAGGTGGTCTAGTGGTCGGCTGTTGTTGTCTAGGTACTCTGGGGTGTGGACAATCTTTCCTGAAATTACCTAATTGGTTACAATTAAAGCAAGCCCTGGTCTGAGGCCTAGGTGCGTGTGTATGGTGTTGTACCTGTGTAGCTGGCACGGGGTACCCTGCGGGTGCTGGGGCGGGTCTGGTGGTAGGACTATAAAAGGAAAACAAAAGGGGATTACTTTTCCTTTGGGGTGCAGATTCTAGGCCTTTAGCAACCAAAAGGAGAGTGTCAAGAGGAATAATCCTATATTCAGGGCGGGAAAGCACTAAGCCTTTCCTGATGGCTTCCTTAAGGCCCGCAACAAAGGCCGCTGATAACATCTCCTAGATCAGAGAAAGTTTGAGTCAATCGTGAATGGTACTTCTCCACAGACTCAAGTTTATCTTGTATAATATAATTTATACAAGTGCCTTGGTCAGCTAGTTTATCCTGGGCCCAGGACCGAAGCTGTTCACAGAAGGTGATACCCGACTGAAAATCCATATCAGTAGTGAGGAGAGCATCATTAAAACTCATTTCCATAATGGGTCAATAGGCATCCCTAGCTTTGATCTCACACAGACTATACAGATCGCGCCAGGCAGCTGAGTATGTCTTGCTAATCTGGGCAATCCTCCGAAAGAAGGGCATGGGATGTTTCTCAGGGTCGGGGAGGGAGGTTTCCAGGGTTGCAGCTTGGGATGGGTTGAAAATAACATATATTGGGGGAGCCCCTTCCACAGTTGATAAGATGTGGATATGATTGGCCAGGGTGGCCTGTCTCTGGGAAACCCTATGATTCGCAGGGCGGAAGAGGAAATGGTTGGAAGGGTGCTGGGAGGGGAAGTGATAGTCATAACCGGAGGTGACGGGGTCTGAGTAAGCTGAGGGAGATGAGCGTAGAGGGCGGAAATGAGTGATGAAAGATCAAGGGAGGGAGGGATTACGGGATTGGAGGCTGGAAGGGGAGTGGAAGGTGAAACTGGGATGGAAGGGGTGATGGGAAGAGGAGAGGGAGCAGAGAGGGCGGAAATGAGTGATGAAAGATCAAGGGAGGGAGGGACTACGGGATTGGAGGCCGGAAGGGGATGGGATGCTGAAAATGGGGAGGAAGGGGGGATGGGAAGAGGAGAGGGAGATGCAGGAGCGGAGGGAGTGGCACAGGAAGATTGTTCGAAGGTGGAAATGGCAGAGGGAGATGTGACAAGGGGGACAACGGGTGAAAGTGGGAGGGGAGCAGGAATAGAAAGAATGACGGGGAGAGGAACAAGAGGGGTGACAGGGGAGGCAATAGGTGAAGGTGAAAGGGGAGCTGGAATAGAAGGAATGACAGAGGGAGGTGGGAGAGGGGTGATCTCAGAAGAAGTAATAGAGGAAGGTAGAAGAGGGACGGGATCAGAAGAGACTGGGGAAGGTGGAAGAGAGACAAGAACTGAGGGAAGTGGGAGAGGGGCTGGGATAGTGGGAACGACGGTAGGAGGTGGGAGAGAGGTGGGAACAATAGGAATGACAGAAGGAGGTGGGAGAGTGAGAGTGGGAGAGTGACGGGAACAGTAGGAATGACAGAGGGAGGTGGGAATGGGGCGGGAGCAGCGGGAAAAACAGAGGGAGGTGGGAGAGGGACGTAATAAGATCCGTCCGCCCCGAGGATGGGGTACAGAGGGGTGGGGACAGAGGAGCCTACACCAATTGGAGGTGACGACTGGGTAGTGGCTGGGGAGGCGGAGTCAGATTATTTCACATTGTGTTGGCCGCCATCATAGAGCGGTGGCTGGGGAGCATCAAGAGATTAATTTTTCAATAAGCAATTTCCTCCAAAATTCTTGCTATGTTCTTTATTTTTAACATAGCCTCTTCTCCTGCTCTCTCCTTAACTATGTCACAAGCTAAGTAGCCTTTGGAAGGTCTGGCGTGTTCTTGTCCCATTTTTACCAAACAAGTCTTCCCACGTAAGAGGGTCAGAGAGAGAGAGAGAGAGAGAGAGAGAGGAAAAAGAAGGAATGTCTACAGTGCTCGACTGCCACGAGGAATTGATCTTCATGCGTCTTCCCTAAACGTAGACTAATCACGGGATCCACCCACCCGAGATGGTGGCTACGGATCTGAGCAGGCGAGCGTGGGTGACTAACACAGCTCTGGGTAAAAAGTACAGAAGAGGTAGAGAATGAAGGAAAAGGTGAACGTGGATAGTCTAATCAGAAGACATTTACAAGAGTCACAGATATAGAGATGTGCACATAATCCGGAATCAAGAATGAGCCACTTAACACACACACACACAGCGTGGGTACCCACACTATGGCCACAATTGAATAAAAACAATAATATAATAAAGAACGATATAACAACGAGCAAAGTAACAACTAAACAGTAAATAAAACCCTGTTCTGCTCTGAACAGTACGACAAAATTCCTAGCCTTTCGCTAGGCCAGGGGTAGGCAACCTTTTAGCAGCACTGGGCCGATATAGGATTGTGATGTCCCGTAGCATGCCGGTCCTATTTTTTTAAATTGAGGTGTGTATGCTGCCGTATTCTGCTTGTGTTATTTTTACTGTAATTGCTTTGTATCATTGTATTTGTGCGTATATGAGCTATTATATTGTATATTTTCATTAGTAGTTTGTGGTATCATGTATGATACATATGAATGTGGGCTGTGTACAAGGGCTGCTTGTGGAATTGTATGTGTGTGTGTGTGTGTGGATGGATATGTCACATTGTGTAGTTGGTAGTGTGTGTATGTGAGGGGTTGTCTGAGGTATTGCATGTGAGAGGCTGCATGTGGGGTTGTGTGCATGTATGTGGATTGTTAGTGGTATTACGTTTGAGGGGATTGTGTGTATGTTTGTGGGCTGTTCGTATTATTTGTATGAGGGGAGGGTTATTCTGCAGATCTGTGTATATCTAGCAGTGTGGGTAGCTTCCCTGGGTTCCATTGGGGACCAGGCTGGCCAGGTACAGGTCAAAGACAGGAGCTGCAACAGCAGCTGCGGGCTGCTCTACTCCAGTATGGATTCCCATTCACAAGTGCTGGAATGAAGTGATCTGAGATCACTTCCTCTATGTGCTGCAATGCATAAATTGAGGATTGTCCTTCACCACCTCTTCGTATTAGCAGATATCTGAGGTTTTACTGGGACTCCTGATAGGACAGAGCCTGTTTGGCTCTAGCAGCCTTGAGTGCCGTGCAAAGGCACCTCGAGTTTCGTGCATGGCACAAGTGCCGTAGGTTGCCTACCCCTGTGCTAGGCAGTTGCCAGCCCTTCACCGGGCGGATGTGTTCCCTGCCCACTAGGCATTCCAGTCCCTCACCGTGCGGATGCGTTCCCTGCCTGCTAGGCAGTCAAGCTATAATAAATTCCCAGCCCCTTACCGGGCGGATGCGTTCCCTGCCCACTAGGCAGTCAAGCTATAATAATAAAACATAAATCACACACCAGCTGTCTCACACGCACACAAACACTCAGGAGGCAGATAGACAATCGACAGGTTCATTTAAAAAGGCACTGGATAAGAGATTACCTGTCTTGTAGCCTTCTGGAAGCCGGAAATGGACACGGAGACAGACCGACACAAAACAGGAGAATACAGGCAAAGCACTGTATTTAGGAGGTGATCAGGCTCCGGTTGTCCCAATCCGGAGGACTGCTCCGGTCCTGGTTTCCAGCCGCCCGAACCGGCAAAACCCGGTACCCCACGTTGGGCGCCAAATGATGTGGAATCAATCAATTGATTATCTTGCGTATCTGCCCCCGGCCAAATTTAAAAAGATGCCTGCATGCTCCTGAAGTAATTCACACCAGACACAGGTTTCGAGTTAATGAAAAACTTGAGGAATGTTTATTCTGGGGGGACGGCATGCCCCTTATAAAGCAAACTTACATCATATGCATTGTCAGAGATAACATAGAATAATACATCAATAATTGGTTAGGTGTTAAGTGGTTCATTTATTGCTCTTCCTACAGGTGTGATGTCACTGGTTTCTTGGAGGTCTCCCTCAGACTCCAGCGCCATCTTGTTAATGAGGGTGTTAGTCGATGTCAAAGGGAAACTCCCTAGTGGCCATTTTAGGTAAATCACGTATAAGGTTGAATAATGTTGATTGTGGTTATGCTGAGTAAATAGGCATTTTATTAATATGAATTGGGTTAATATTTTGTCCACAACAACATGTAATAATGGGAGATGGTAGTGGGGTCAGATGACCTGTAATAATAGGAGATGGTAGTGGGGTCAGATGACATGTAATAATGGGAGATGGTAGTGAGGTCAGATGACATGTAATAATGGGAGATGGTAGTGGGGTCAGATGACATGTAATAATGGGAGATGCTAGTGTGGTCAGAAGACATGTAATAATGGGACATGGTAGTGAGGTCAGATGACATGTAATAATGGGAGATGGTAGTGAGGTCAGATGACATGTAATAATGGGAGATGGTAGTGAGGTCAGATGACATGTAATAATGGGAGATGGTAGTGAGGTCAGATGACATGTAATAATGGGAGATGGTAGTGAGGTCAGATGACATGTAATAATGGGAGATGGTAGTGAGGTCAGATGACATGTAATAATGGGAGATGGTAGTGAGGTCAGAAGACATGCAATAATGGGAGATGGTAGTGAGGTCAGATGACATGTAATAATGGGAGATGGTAGTGAGGTCGGATGACATGTAATAATGGGAGATGGTAGTGAGGTCAGAAGACATGCAATAATGGGAGATGGTAGTGAGGTCAGATGACATGCAATAATGGGAGATGGTAGTGAGGTCAGATGACATATATAATAATGGGAGATGTAGTGAGTCCAGAAAGGCATGCAATAATAGGGAGATAGTAGTGAGGTCAGATGACATACTTAATAATGGGAGATGGTAGTAAGGTCAGATGACATGTAATAATGGGAGATGGTAGTGAGGTCAGATGACATGTAATAATGGGAGATGGTAGTGAGGTCAGATGACATGTAATAATGGGAGATGGTAGTGAGGTCAGATGACATGTAATAATGGGAGATGGTAGTGAGGTCAGATGACATGTAATAATGGGAGATGGTAGTGAGGTCAGATGACATGTAATAATGGGAGATGGTAGTGAGGTCGGATGACATGTAATAATGGGAGATGGTAGTGAGGTCAGAAGACATGCAATAATGGGAGATGGTAGTGAGGTCAGATGACATGTAATAATGGGAGATGGTAGTGAGGTCGGATGACATGCAATAATGGGAGATGGTAGTGAGGTCAGATGACATGTAATAATGGGAGATGGTAGTGAGGTCGGATGACATGTAATAATGGGAGATGGTAGTGAGGTCAGATGACATGTAATAATGGGAGATGGTAGTGAGGTCAGATGACATGTAATAATGGGAGATGGTAGTGAGGTCAGATGACATGTAATAATGGGAGATGGCAATGAGGTCAGATTTCATGTAATAATGGGAGATGGTAGTGAGGTCAGATGACCTGTAATAATGGGAGATGGTAGTGAGGTCAGATGACATGTAATAATGGGAGATGGTAGTGATAATGGGAGATGGTAGTGAGGTCAGATGACATGTAATAATGGGAGATGGTAGTGATAATGGGAGATGGGAGTGAGGTCAGATGACATGTAATAATGGGAGATGGTAGTGAT